CCCCCGATGGGTCCTTTTTTGGCCAGATCATTCTGTCATGAAACGAGGACAGATGGACCCAGTATTCAAGGAGAGACAGTCAGTAGGAAAGTTCAAACGTTTATTAGATAAAACAAAACAAAATGTCTCAGCATGATCTAGAAAAACTAATCCATGTGTTTATTTTTAGTCGAATTGATTACTGCAACAGTGTTTTTGTTGGGATCCGGAGGTTTTTCCACCAAAGGGCGCCGAGGATCCCTTCCTGAGGGCTTCTGCTGTCTGATGGGATCCAGAGGCCTGCCCAACAGAGGGCGCCACGGATCCCTTCCTGAGGGCTTGTGCTCACCTGCAACACCTGTCTTTCATCTCCTCATCAGCCTTGGGCCTACTTAAGGAGGAAGAAACTAACACTCCAACGCCAGAGTGTTTGCCAGTAACGGTTAGCAAAACCTGAGCCAACCTGCCTGTCTAAGTCTTCTGACTTTTTGTGATCTGAACCTGATCCTGTTTTCTCCTCTCTGCCTCACAGGTTGAACCAGCCTGTTAACCTGAAACTCTGGAGAGTTTCTCTGCCGGTGATCTGTCTGCCTGCTCTCTGTTGAACTCTGGAGGGCTTCCTCTGTCAGCACCTGTCTGCCCGCCCTCAGAGGAAAATTAGGAAAATTAGGAGAGAGACTGTCTGTGATCTGCCTTCAAGCACACAGTAAGCCCTGCACCGTCTCAACCCAGCTCTCAGGAGAGAGAGAGAGAGAGAGAGAGAGAGAGAGAGAGAGAGAGAGAGAGAGAGAGAGAGAGAGAGAGAGAGAGAGAGAGAGAGAGAGAGAGAGAGAGAGAGAGAGAGAGAGAGAGAGAGCAAAACCTGGAGTCTGCCAGCCTGCACTCTGACTGTCTCAGCCCAGCTCTCTCTAGAGAGAGAGAGAGAAAGCTCATCAGGAATCAGCCTACCTGCACTCAGACTGCCTCTGCCCAGCTCTCAGCTCTCCTTCTGCCTGCACTGTGTTCCCAACCTGGAACCTGCCCACCAGCACTCAGACTGCCTCTGCCCAGCTCTCAGCTCTCCTCCTGCCTGCACTGTGTTCCCAACCTGGAACCTGCCCACCAGCACTCAGACTGCCTCTGCCCAGCTCTCAGCTCTCCTCCTGCCTGCACTCTGTTCTCAAACAGGAACCTGCCTGCCGGCACTCAGACCGCCTCTGCCAAGTTGTCAGTTCTCCTCCTGCCTGCACTCAGCTCTGCTAGCCCTCAGCCCTCGGCCTGTCCACTGATGCTGGACCCACAAGGTTCCCCCCTCTCTGCAGCTCTGCTCCTCTCTAGATCAGCGGTGAACCAATTCCTGACCAGTCCCCCTAACCTGGGACCTGTACTCATTAATATACATCTTTGTAAATAAACCTTTGAACTTTTTCCCTGCCTCCGAGTTGTTCTGCATATGGGCTAGATTCAGTTCAGTTCAGTTCAGTTTATTCGAACAACAAAACAATATAAGATGTGTAAATACAACACAACACAATGAATACATAAACCATAATAAACTGTTTGAAAAGGAATGGGACGAAGTATAAACTTTTTCCATAACCCATCATGACCACTAGCTCTACAGACAGAAAATAACACCAGAAAAAAGAAGCTTGTGCACAAAAAGTGGCTGTTAACAGGACTCCAGTCTGTGGGTTTGTCTTTTGTGTTGTTCTCCCTTCCACCAGCAGGAGGTGCCTGGTTCCGGTCCGCCTCCTCACACACCTGCTGACGGTTACCTCATTATCGGAGTGCTCTTAAGCTGCTGGTTGCCACTACCTCGACGCCAGAGTGTTTGCCAGTTTTTGGTACTCTAGCCAAGCTGAGTTTTCATTGAGTAAGACTGAGTTCTTGTCTCCCTGAGATTTAACTTTGTTTTTGTCTTTGCCTCTCGGCAGGAAGTCATCCTGCAAACTGGACCTTTTCGGACCTCCTTTCCCAGGAGGGATCAACTGAGTCTTAAACTGAGCGAGCGATTCAAACAGGATGTTTGGATAGAGTCTCCTTTTGAGGACGTTGAAATTACTCTCTGAGCAAGGAAATCATCTTCACCACGACCCGTTCAAGTACAGTAGGAAATCTGAGTGGCAATCAGTGTCTCTGTCCATCTACACCGTCCAAGTTCTGGGTAAACCCTGTTCCGCCCTCCACCGAATCAGACATACTCTGGAAAACCAACACACAGATTGGAGTCAAGGATCCTTCACTTCTCTGGAAACGTGAGTCATTAAACAGATCCTCTCCTTCAAGATCAACGAATCAAAATTCCCACTGAGCCTGAACTAACAGTCTGTCTTCCCCTCGCCTTCCAGTTCCGGCTGAGCAGACTACCGAGAGACTCTTCACCGAGCTTAACCTCTTCAATAAAACCCGTTGAACTTTTTATCTGTGTCTCTCTGTTATGATTTCTGCATTTTTGGGTCAGACCTTAGTTAAATCATGACAGCTGTGTCCGAACGTCCGCCCTGACCCCTAAATCCCTCAATTTGCTCATCTATCTGTTCTCTCTCTCTCTCTCTCTCTCTCTCTCTCTCTCTCTCTCTCTCTCTCTCTCTCTCTCTCTCTATATATATATATATATATATATATATATATATATATATGTATATATATATATATATATATATATATAAAACTTGAACCTAAGCTTTGTACGTTATTGTTAAAACACTGACCATTTCTCACCCAGGCCATTGATGATTGCTGAACGTTTCAGATTTTATAAATGTAATCAGGAGGAGAGTGAGACAGTGACGATGTTTGTAGCTGCGCTAAGGAAATTAGCAGAGCACTGTGAATTTTCAGAAGACACGCTTAAGGATGCAATATGTGACCGGCTGGTTTGTGGGCTGTGCAGTGAGGCCGCTCAGAGAAAATTGAGGACAAATTAACTCTGAATAAAGCCATTGAAATCAGTGTGTCAATGGAATTGGCTGCAAGGGAGGCACAGCAGCTGAGTGCTGTACCATAAAGGTGACTTTTAAATAGGATTGAGGTTATAAGGGCAGGCTTATATATTCCAGGCTAATATCAGCATGGTCAATATCTATTTTTTTTTTCATCTATGGCTACAGATCCCTTTTATACCTATCTTCTGGTCTCACTAAAACTCAAGCTTCTGGACTTGATTTTGGGAAAAAAGTTGAAAGTTTTCAGTGATTCTCATAACCCTCTAAACACACAAGAAGCCATTCTGGAATCTGCAGCTTTAATTTCATATATATAAACATTTCAATTTAAAAAATGCAAAAAAGAGCAAACACTGTAAAAAAAAAAAAATTGTACTGATAAATGTAAACAATGGTGAAGCTAAAATAATGAATGACCATATGTTACTTAGTCTATTAACTGAGGTCTGAGATTCTTGTCACAATTTAGATTTTCTATTACATATACACTACCGTTCAAAGGTTTGGGGTCACATTGAAATGTCCTTATTTTTGAAGGAAAAGCACTGTACTTTTCAATGAGGATAACCTTAAACTAGTCTTAAATTTAAAGAAATACACTCTATACATTGCTAATGTGGTAAATGACTATTCTAGCTGCAAATGTATGGTTTTTGGTACAGTATCTACATAGGTGTATACTGTAGAGGCCCATTTCCAGCAACTATCACTCTAGTGTTCTAATGGTACAATGTGTTTGCTCATTGGCTCAGAAGGCTAATTGATGATTAGAAAACCCTTGTGCAATCATGCTCATACATCTGAAAACAGTTTAGCTCGTTACAGAAGCTACAAAACACACCTTCCTTTAAGCAGATTGAGTTTCTGGAGCATCACATTTGTTGGGTCAATTAAACGCTCAAAATGGCCAGAAAAAGAGAACTTTCATCTGAAACTGGACAGTCTATTCTTGTTCTAAGAAATTGAAGATTTCCTACAACGTGTGTACTACTCCCTTCAGAGGACAGCACAAACAGGCTCTAACCAGAGTAGAAAAAGAAGTGGGAGGCCGCGTTGCACAACTGAGGAAGAAGATAAGTACATTAGAGTGTCTAGTTTGAGAAACAGACGCCTCACAGGTCCCAAACTGGCATTTTATTTAATAGTACCCGCAAAACACCAGTGTCAACATCTACAGTGAAGAGGCGGCTGCGGGATTCTGGGCTTCAGGGCAGAGTGGCAAAGAAAAAGCCATATCTGAGACTGGCCAATAAAAAAAAAGATTAAAATGGGCAAAAGACCACATACATTGGACAGAGGAAGACTGGAAAAAGGTGTTGTGGACTGATGAATCCAAGTTTGAGGTGTTTGGATCACAAAGAAGAACGTTTGTGAGACACAGAACAAATGAAAAGATGCTGGAAGAATGCCTGACGCCATCTGTTAAGCATGGTGGAGGTAATGTGATGGTCTGGGGTTGCTTTGGTGCTGGTAAGGTGGGAGATTTGAACAGGGTAAAACAGATTCTGAATAAGGAAGGCTATCACTCCGTTTTGCAACGCCATGCCATACCGAGTGGACAGCGCTTGATTGGAGCCAATTTCATCCTACAACAGGACAATGACCCTATACACACCTCTAAATTGTGCAAGAACTATTTAGAGCAGAAGCAGGTAGCTGGTATTCTATCGGTAATGGAGTGGCCAGCGCAGTCACCAGATCTGAACCTCATCGAGCTGTTGTGGGAGCAGCTTGACCGTATGGTACGCAAGAAGTGCCCAACCAACCAATCCAACTTGTGGGAGCTGCTTCTGGATGCGTGGGGTGCAATTTCTCCAGATTACCTCAACAAATTAACAGCTAGAATGCCAAAGGTCTGCAATGCTGTAATTGCTGCAAATGGAGGATTCTTTGACGGAAGCAAAGTTTGATATAAAAAAAATCTTATTTCAAATACAAATCATTATTTCTAACCTTGTCAATGTCTTGATTCTATTTTCTATTCATTTCACAACATATGGTGGTGAATAAGTGTGACTTTTCAGGAAAACACATAAATGTTTGGGTGACCCCAAACTTTTGAACGGTGGTGTAGTTTTGACAGTTTTATGTAATTCCTGTGCTTTGTTATAGTGGTGTCAACATGAAAGCCTCTATTCGGTCAGCAGGATCCTCAAAAATCATTATCTTACCAAAGCTTAAAGGTAAGTGATATTTGTAAGTTTGCAACAATATATTAATGATTTGCCCAACAAAAATAGGAAAAAGTGATCAGATTTGACACATGGCTTCTGCAGACATCTTTTATTAATTGGTATTTTATACAACCTATTAAATGCCAATTAATAAAAACATTATCAGCTATAAGATATATTAATAAAGAGCAGCTGTTTTTAAGCCAAAGTTAATGCTCTTCATACATAATCACAAAATGCCATTTTTATTCCTTCCAGTTTCCAATGAAACAGTACCTGCTAATGTATCAGGTAAAGTATAAGTTTACATTTTCAAATACTGATATCTAAAAAAGTGATTTATAAATGACTCATTACATTTACACTTACCTCTTAGGAAAAAGTTTGTGGACCAGACCTGCTGGTTATTACTACAAAGATGCATGGCAGGCTCTAGATGGCACCAAGGTTCATCAGTTCAAAAATGCCAAAGCAATAACTCAGTGCCTGAAAGGAAAGGAGGTCCACATGTATGGAGACTCCACCATCAGACAGTGGTTTGAATATTTAATTGCAAAAGTACCAGGTAGAAGCCTAGTAGAAATTTCTTTCCAAGATTCAAACCGGTTCACACTTCTTTCTAATCTGCTTTGTTTTCTGTGTTACTTTCAGATCTTAAGAAGTTTGACCAGAAAAAACCTCCAAAAACAGGACCCTTTCTGGCCTTGGATTATACAAACAACATCTTAGTGACATGCCGCTCCCATGGTCCTCCCCTCCGTTCTCCTCTGATGCTTGTCAGTCAATTACACTTAGTTGCCAATGAACTGGACAGCGTGGATGGAGGCAACAACACTGTTGTAATAATTGGTGTCTAGGCTCACTTCAGCTCTTTTCCTGTTGAGGTCTACATCCGACGTCTGCTGAGTATAAGGAGAGCAGTCGTGCGGTTGTTGACCAGAGCTCCAGGTACCCTGGTAATCATTAGGACTGCTAATCCTAAAAGGATTACACTAGAGGAGTCAGTTACCACTGATGATTACTATTTATTACAGCGTGACAAGATACTCAGGACAATTTTTCAAAAAGTCAATGTCCGACGGCTGGATGCCTGGGAGATGACCCAGGCCCACTACCTCCCACACAATGTCCATCCACCGCCTCCTATAATTAAAAACATGATCGATGTTGTTTTGTCCTATGTATGCTTTCCCAAAACTGAAACTTGAAATCAAAGTAATAGAAAACTTTGTTATCTGGTTATTAGGGTAACTATTGGTGATTGACAACTCTTCCAGGTTGATGTAAAACAAATCAAAAAGTACACAGGTTGGAGTGAATAATTAACAAAATTAGGATTGGGTTAAGTGAATTCAACAATATAGTCACACTTAATAGAAAATCCGGTACAATAAGATGTCTTGAAAGTCATAGGGAAACGGCCGTTCCAATTGTTGCATTTTAAGAATTCTCGCTATTGGTGCACGACTTTACACGAGTGAATAAAGTGAATGTGATTGGTCGATTATCAGGGGGCGGGATTGTTGTGGCGGAAGGTTCGCAAGCAAGTTTGACTGTAGCCGGTTTGTCGGAAGCATCTTGCTAACCAGTTAGCAACTTAGTGCTAGTAGGTTCCCAATGGGAAATTACATTGGGACCAAGTAGCGCTAAATTGGTGATTTAGAAACAACACTATCAAGGAACGCTATGGACAGCTGAAACATGCAAGAGGAGAGTTTAGTGTTGGAGGTCATGGATGAGTCTCCTCCGGCATACATTTTTTATTTAGAGGACGAAAGCGGGCACAAAGATGTTGTGGAAGAGGACGCCAGGGCGGCAGAAGCTTGGTTTGGTGTAGAAGGCTTACAACCGTACATGTTTGACCCCTTGCCTCGCAACGCTGCCAGTTCTGTTAGCTCTACGCCTGCTGAAGACACAGACATCCATCCCTGTGGACACTGGGACGGAACTCAATGAGAAAGGAAATGATTCTAATGTCCTATTTCAACCGTTGCGTATATTAGCTGCAACATATGAAGCAAGATGCTATGACTGAAAAAATTTGATTGACAGATGACCGTTGATATATGATTGGCCGAATTTAGGTGTACAAGCTGACGCATAACTAACTGGCCTGCACAAGATAACAGAAAAAAACACAGATTTTAAGACAGGATTTTTTTTACATAAAAAATTTCCAAAATTTTGGGACAATATCGTCGGATAAAGACTACATTTATATACATGTTTATGCCAGAATGATTTGACATTTAAATATGATTTCCATATGACTTTAAGATAAAGCACATAAACAACATACTGTATTAAAATAACAAACTATAAGCATCATACCAGCTCAACACAAATAAATAAAACAGGCCTGGTAACATAACACAGGCTAACTATACCGAAAAACAACAAAAAATGCTCAGATCTGAGGATATATAGTATGAGAAGAAACGTTAACATCATCATTCTAAAAAAACATTTATATGGTTTTTGAATTCCAGCTTGCAGGGAGAGCTTTAATGGGAAACTGGTGAAAATAAAGATTGCTTTGGGTTTTTTTTATTTAATCATTCTATCTTTTTTATGTAATTGTCTTATTTTAATCACACACTTCTGTTCCCTTTTATTATTTGTTCAGCTACTATGTGACCACAATGTACTTTTCTGTTTCTCATGTACAGTATAGCACCTTAAATTTTCTCGCTACTTAAATCTGTTAGATAAATAAACTTGTCTTACCTTCCCTTATGTAGGAGTGGCTAGTCTTCCTAAGTTCAATCATCAGATCATCCAGGATATAACATACAACCATACTTTTTATGAATTAACAATAAAAAAAGATTACATAAAATGGCTTTAATGTTAGAATTAGAGGCTAAAACCACTATTGACCAAAAAGAACATAAAGATCCATCTTTCATTGGTGCCTTTAAATAACGTTAAATTATTATGAAACATTTGTCCTGGGGATTATTTTAAAGCAACATATCAAAATAATAGAATTAAATGTCATATTTTTTGGCCAAGAGTAGGAAAAAAAATATTAGATCGCTCTTGTTTTCTTTAAATTCTTGCTCTAAATGTATGTTACCCAAGGAATACAATGGAAAGGGAACAAAGAAGAAAGGGTCTAACTGTGACAAAGTGGTTCAGGTTGTGTTCACCACTTGTCCCTTATTTTTATCGATTCGTAATGCTTAAATTTAAACATTATTTTGCAACTTTAATTCACTTACTTTGTTCATGGGTTTGTTTGTGTAAGCATTAGGTTGCAGCTTCCTTCTATTTATATGTTCAGTTTAAAGCTATTACTTCTGGATTATTGGTTGAAATTGTTTATTTTGTTTCAAAGTATATTCATGGTATTTGTTTTCCTTTTAACTCACCAATTTTTTGTCTCATTATTTCCTGTTAAATTGGCTAGATGATGTCATTGGTGGGTTCTACCATTTAGAGGGTTTCCTTTGGAGTAATGCTTTGTTTGTTTTTCTTCAAAGTAACTTTTTGAGTTATCTGGTATCACAGTGTTTATTTTACAGACTCTTTCATTGTGTAGATGAGCTTGTAAACTAGATTCATAATTTTATTCTTGTTTCTCTTTTTAGACTTTGTTTTTTTCTTCCTGTTTAATTGTGGCTTTGCCGACTCAAGTTCAGGTTTGTTGCCAATTGGTTATAGAAGCAATGAGCTCTTGGAAGCTATAGAGATGGTTGTGAGAGTGAAAAGTGCCAAATAAAAAACATCAGAGAAATCTGGGACCGGTGGCTAAAGCTGTTTTTTTGTTCACCTTAATGATCCTTGACCAAACTACCTCACACTAACTTTCTTCTGCATGACTATATTCTTATTTAGAGCTGATTTTAATACGGTTTATATTTAGATCTGCCTTAACCTGAAGGTCATTTAAATATCCCACTGAAATGAGGGGATTTATATACCCACTGAAATCTGAAGTGATTTCAGTGGGTAAATAAATTAGTATTATTCATAAAAATCCGCAAAATCTGGTGCATGTTCATTCTTAAGAGTCAATGCTCCTAAAAGAAGTGAAAGTAGCAACAGATAAGGAAGGTACAGTATGGTAACACTGGCCCCTAGGAGACCATACACTAAAAAAATTACAAAGCAAAAAAACAAAAAAACAGTCTCTGTTTCACATCCACAAACCAGTTGGTTTTGCTTGGCTTTAATGATTTTTGACAAGTTTGCTTGTCATTCTTGGTAAAGTCATGTGTTAAATGACATATTTCAATGGTCCCCTATTCTTGTAAAAACAACACGTGTGAAAAGCCACCGTCTTTGCTGTAAGTCACCGTAACAAAGGATAAAAAAGGAATGTGAACACTGTAGCCTATAGAAAAGGTCCAGTAGACTTATGTTTCATAATTTGGAAACACAAAAAGGACAAGATGTTAAACACTGAGTATTCATTTCTTAACAAAATTTAAAAAGCAGCTATAGCAAAAATATTCTGATTTAGAAACAAATTTAAAAGATTAGACTCACCTTCACAAAACTTATAGAGATTTCTTAAGAACCAAGAACTATTTACTTACATGTAATGCAGAGGGATATTTATGATAGATGGGCCGTGAAGTTGTAAAATGGGTAACCGTGGTAGCTGCTTTTTGGTGCTCTAATTGGGAGAAGGATAAGTCATATACTACTAATAATAATGCACCCAATGAAAAAAGAAGTTTAATACTAGTTTAATAGTTTAATACTTAATAATAGCATGTGCAATTTATGATGACCTTTATATACATCTTTACGACTCACAAGAAGAGCCATCAAAAAAAAGATTTAAATGATAGTATCTAGCATGGAATCCGAAGGTTGTAAGTTCGAAAGCATCTCCCACAGACTACCACTCTGGGTCTCTGAGCAAGACTCTTAACCCTTGATTGCTCCCCGGGCGCTGGTCCCCAAAGGGGATGAAGAGAGGGAATTTCGCCATTGTGAGGTCCATAAAGTTCTATATTTATTTATTTATATATATATATATATATTATAGAGACCCTAAGAAATAGAGTCTGTAAGAATATATAAAAGTATTTTGCATTTAAGAAGAAAATTAAAAACAATTTCGTCCATCAAAATGCTCTCAGAACTCCTCAAATGGAAAAGTTTTAATTTCACTTTTAATTTTGTAAAAAATAATGTTTAAGGAACCTTTGGCTAGCTGATAATTAATCGATTAATCTAAAAGATAATCAACAAATTAATCGATTAGCAAAATAATGTTTAGTTTCAGCCCTTCTACAGTATACTGTATATCTTTGGGCCTTCTTTGATGAGTCAATCTGCAGGTACAGACACATTTGCACATATTTTAAGGCACTCAAACCTGAAAACTTACATGTGAACATGCTTTAGCCCATTTTCTCCTCGTGCACGCTCTGTTTAAAAGTTGCTGTTTGCATCGCTGATACAAGCTTACTTTCCAAAAGAAGATTTGAAATGTTTCCACTATGTCAGACTCACCACAGGTAAGTGAAAATAGGGACGAGCACGGAGGACGGCCTTACAAAAACCTATCACCAGAACGATTGACAATTAGGAGGACCACTTATTTTGATGATCTGGACTGATAAAGAACATCCTCTGCTCTACCTTTAAATCATTTTTAAAGTCAAATACTCTTACTTTATGGATTATAGCTCACGGATTGTATGCAAGGACTTTCTAGTTTAATTATAATACCCTATTGTCTTATATTTGATCAATTTTGTGCTCCATTTTTTACTAACAATACTGCTTTAACGTATATTTACCATAAATAAACCACATTGCTGGTTGTATAATCTTACATGAAAACTGGAGCCAAGCAAGTCACCAGTGTCCAGCTGAGGTTTGAAAAAAAGAAGAAAAGTCTAAAATAAAGTGTGAAAATGGGTAAGACACAGCAAACAAAAAAAAATACATTTACCGATCACTGAAGCAGGAGCTTGAGCTGCCAAAACATTTATATTTTGCTGCCAAGTTGTTGAATGTGTGAGGAAGTATTGGCGGATGGTATAAAATTCAATTAAATTCAGTTTTATTTATTTAGCAACAATTCACAACATGTCATCTCAAGGCACTTTATAGAGACAATTCAACCAGATCATACAGTCAGACTGGTTCAAAGTTTTCTAAGGAAAACCAGGTGATGCTTCAACTCATTGAGTTGGCAGCAATCCTTCACACCAAGCATGCATATAGTGACACTGGAGAGGAAAAACTCCCTTTTAACAGGAAGAAACCTCCAGCAGAAAACCTCGAATTTAGCTTAGTGCGAGGGGCCTTCTGCGAGGGTGAAAGTATTGAACTTTTGACCCATTTTAGGCAGGATGTTTCAGGGTTGTGAGGAAATACTGTTTATTTCTGCACATTCAGTGCCATGTGTCAGCACAGGGTCCGAAGTATGAAGATGAGAATCTGTGGGACTATTCACAATTAACTCACATTTAATTCTCCACCACCTTGGGAGGTGGCTCCCATTCTGACCTGGGGGGTCTTAAGTTTGGATTCTGCACAGATGTTTCTGTACTCTATTAGCCACTAAGATCTTCCATGGATTCCTTTCCCTCCAGAGTCTAACAGCCTGCTAAGAGATGGTGGATTTTTTCTGAGAACTCTTTGCATAACCTGCACCTGGGATCTTGCTGAGTATGGCAGATACTCAGCAAGAAAAAATATATATTTTTTAATATAAAAAAACTCTTAAATAACAATCATATATATTAATAATAATATAATAATAATAATGCATAATAACGCAGAGACCAGTCTTTATTTCCAACCATCTGGAAAAGATTGTGTGGTTAATGCACAGGCTGAGGTTGGGAAAGATGCGCTCCAGCACTAGCATCCATGTTTGCTTTGTTAAACACAGAGCATGCTCACTTGTGACGTCATTGCATCCTCTACTGCGCATCGAGAGATGAATGAATGAAGTTCACACAAGAGATCACATGAAAGTCGCATATATTTTGAAATGGGAACCACGCATAAGAATTGTATTTCTCAAAAAAATTGGAATTGAGACTTAATGCCTTCAGTATGAATGTAGCGGTTAACAGCTGTATGTCTCTTCCTGCTTTAGTAACATTTTATCTGTAACTGTTAGATGCATGAAATGGAGCTCTGGAGGATGGAGCACAAGCTTGAGGAATGGGTTTCCTATGCATGTCAGAAAAAGGAAGGTTTTATTTACAAAAAGGAACAAAACAAATCAAAGCATGAATTACACACAGGTGTGATCAAAATCTAGGGAGTTAAGGTTCAAGGTTTAAGAGTCTTTTATTTAATTCAGTTTATTGATATAGCACCAATTCATAACACATTTTGTCTCAAGGCACAATACAGAGACAATACAGTCAGATTGGTAAAAAGTTTATATCAGACCTGGGCATTGTACAGGATACTGTGCAGCCCACGAGGTATGGGCATTGTAATGCATATGGCCTGTCTAAAGTTAATTGGAAATTTCAAAATAAACATATTCATCTAATGAATGGACTGAGGCTGCTTTGCTTTTATTTTGCCCTGAAAAAAAAAAGAACACAACAAATGATCTGGTAATTCTTTCATTAAATCTTATACTTTACTGTACTGTAGTTTATTTTTTTAGTTTGATTTGGCATTGGTTAACTATTTGGGTGCACACATTCAGTTGACTCATTTTGTCATTTCTTGTTTGTTTGGTTTTCTGCACTTCAATATATTTTTCATTTGAGTTGCCAGTTCCTGGGAAGCTGTCGTGAGTGAAGCCAGTGAAGGAAAGGAGGCCCCAGCTGCAAAGGATCTCCTCATTGACATGGAGGCCTAGTTGGACTCTTCCACTTACTTTTAGAAGGGGTGTAGAAAGGGTTTAAGTTTCTTTATTTGGTTTTGTTTTCTATAATAAAATTTGGAAAGTTTAATATTTAAGTCCTCTTCCTCATAGGTTGTTGATTTAGTATGGTGCTCATTAGTTTGGTCTTTTGTTGAAGTTTTGTTTAGGAAAATGTATTATATGTTTCCCTCTTGTTTTAAAATGGTCTAATCAACCAGTGTTTATATATGTTTCCCTTGTGTGTTAGTTGAGTAGATCTTTTCCTGTGTCAGGTTTGGATTATGCTGACTTTTGTCATTTGTTTTCTTTGATGGGCCCTGTCTTGTTAGAAGTTTGAACTTTATTTTTTGTTAAATAAATTTGTTACCATTTTTTCATCAATGACTTCCCTGTGCTTCTCTGATTTTTTTTTTTTTTTGGCTCGGTCCCTCACAGCTAGATAACAAATTCAGAGTTTTCAACAAGAATTGGACAGCTAATTATTTACTTACAAAAGTCAGTGGAAAAGCTGTGCATCTAGTTTGCGGCGAGCAGATCGCCACGTTTAAGGACTACAACAGACGAAACATGCGGAGAACCACAGAAACTTGAATGATGCTGAAAGGCCGTGGGCATTGGAAGCTTTGCTAGTTTAGCTGCAAAAGCAGCAATGCTTTTTTTTTACCAAGCTTCACACATCCAGGAATGCAGCAACCAACCAAAACCAAGATCAACAAATGGTATAAAAAGTTCACATTTTGTTTTTTAATGTTTTGGTTAATTTGAATGAATAAATTACATTTTTTGTGAGGCAACCTCGATTTTTTCATTGCTTAATCTTAACATATACAATTGTCAAACCAATGCTTTTTATAAAGAAATACAATTAATATGCATGATTGAGTTCAAATCTTTTGGTCTGGTCCTCCACAACATTTTCTGTCTCTCATGTTGCCTCATGGAAAAAATAATTGCCAAACCCTGATTTATATCATGGAAAATCAGCTGAATGCATCAAGTCATTGACTTGCAAGACCTGCTCTTCCTGAATGAAGTTGTGGCGACAATTTTTCGCTTGCACTTGTATAGGACTCTTCAGTAATCCTTCACACCAAGCATGTATGCAGCGACAGTGGAGAGAAAATACTCCCTTTAACAGGAAGAAACTTCAAGCAGAACCAGGACCAGTGTGAGATGCCTTCTGCTGTGATCAACTTTGGTTTAAGGAGACAGAAGCTCATACACAAAACAAAACAGATATAAAACTGTTAACAAGCTCCGCAGGTGACCCAGGCCAGGAAAAATACAGTAACGCAGACAAAGCTCCAAGCCAGTTCCAAAGTCAGGTGATGAAAGAGAGCACACAACTTTGCAAATAACACTCAAAACATATTAGTATCTGATAAGCCATATTATGCCCATTTGATTAATATCATACAAATTGATCAATTCACTTTAATGCTATGTTAGCAGTACTGGTTATGTCCTCACTCTGAATCTGTGCAGCAGCTAGTGTTTTTTTTTTCTTCAGCATGGATCCTCATGTGTGATTTAAAATTTCCTTTCAAGCCAAACATTTTTCCGCATAGGTCACAAAGGAAAGGTTTGTCTCCTGTGTGGATTATCATGTGTGAGTTTAATCTTCCTTTCTCCCTAAATCTTTTCCCACATATATCACAACAGAAAGGTTTGATTCCAGCGTGGATCATCAGGTGTCTGTTTAAACTTCCTTTCTCTCTATATCTACGTCCACATAAGTAACAACAGAAAGGTTTGTCTCCTGCATGGACCCTCATGTGTGAGTTTAAACGTACTTTGTGCCGAAATCTCTTCCCACACAGGTCGCAACAGAAAGGTTTATCTCCTGTGTGGATCATCATGTGTAATTTTAAACTCTGTTTCTTGCTAAATGTCTGTCCACATATGTCACAACAGAAAGGTTTATCCCCTGTGTGGATCATCATGTGGGATTTTAAACCGCTTTTCTGCCTAAATCGTTGCCCACATAGGTCACAACAGAAAGGTTTGTCTTTGTGTATCATCATATGTTGGTTTAAATTTCCTTTCTTGCTAAATCTCTTTCCACATAGGTCACAACAGAAAGGTTTTTCTCCTGTGTGGCTCATCATGTGGGAGTTTAAATGTCCTTTGTGGCCAAATCTCTGCTCACATACGTCACAACAGAAAGGTTTGTCTTCTGAGTGGATTGTCATGTGTCTGTTGAAAGTTCCTTTATGTCTAAATCTCTTTCCACATAGGTCACAACAGAAAGGTTTGTCTCCAGTGTGGATCCTAATGTGTGTGTTGAAACTTCCTTTCTTCCTAAATTTCTGCCCACATAAGTCACAACAGAAAGGTTCGTCTTCTGCATGGATCCTCATGTGCCTGTTAATATTTCTTTTGTGCCTAAATCTCTGTCCACATAGGTCACAACTGAAAGGTTTGTCTTCTGCATGGATCATCATGTGTCTGCTTAAACTTTCTTTCCCGGTAAATCTCTGTCCACATAGGTCACAACAGAAAGGTTTGTCTTCTGCATGGATCATCATGTGTCTGCTTAAACTTTCTTTCCCGGTAAATCTCTGTCCACATAGGTCACAACAGAAAGGTTTATCTCCAGTGTGGATCATTTTGTGTAAGTTAAAATGTCCTTTCTGGCTAAATTTCTTTCCATATAAGTCACAACCGAAAGGTTTTTCACCTGTGTAAATTCTCTTATGTATTTTTAATTTTTCTTTTTCAGTAAATGTTTTACTAGAGTCTTCACAGCAGGTCTTCAGCCTTTTAAGGACATTTCTTTGTGAGCCTACATTTTTCTTCATTGTAAAAATGTCAATATTATCCATAGAGCTTGAAGAGCCCATTTCTGAATGTCTCATGCCTTTCTGAAGATTTTGAACTAATTGTTGAGTAAAGTCAGAGGTGTCAAAAGGTCTGTTGGCAATGCATCCATGTGAATCAGGAGCTGTCACCTTCTTCCAGTGAAAGTCCAGGTCCTTTGTTTTCATTCCAGTTGCTAATAAGCGTTTTGGTTCAAACATGGACTGATTAACATCTTCAGTCTCTGAGGAAAATGACCTATCTGGATGATCTTGTATCCTTATAGATTCTTCTCCATCATTCTCTTCTGGAATCTCTCTGCCTTTAATGTGGTCTTGATAAGGCTGTTGAACATCAGAGGAATGTTTATTTTCTTCACTCTTTAGGGGATTAGCAGTTTTTGGAAACTTTGTGGCATCAATTTCCTCTTTGAAACTGAGCTGATCTCCCACTGGACTGGTGCAGACTTCCTCCAGTTCCTCCTTTATGTGGACGGCCTCTGGGTCAGGCTTAATAGCATAAGGTTTGTGGTCTTCAGGAACTTCTTCTTTAATCGTCTGCTTAACATCTGCAGGAAACATTGAAACACATATTTAATGTGTGGAGATATTTAGACCTAATTTTTAAATAAAATGATATATGTTCTATGATTACACCTAATTCTTGGGTTTAATTGCTACTTTTCTATGCTTTACGTTTAATTTTTATTTAAATGTTGAAGCCATTTCTGTCCTCCCATTCAGCATCTTTTTATCTCCATTTCAATTATATACAATTGCTCTGTTTTAGTGATAAATATTGACCAGGGTGTTATAGCAGGTTATTTTAACACTCGTGCCAACCCTGGAGGAGAAAACTTAAGAGCAGCCTTTATTTCAATTGATTTTGTTCAAAATGTGCATAGTCCTACACATTCTTATTTTCATACTTTGGATCTTGTGTTGACATACGGCATTGATTGTAAAGATAAAACAATGCTTCTTCACAACCATGTCCTCTCTGATCAAATAACCTTCAAACATAATTTAATGGAGTGTTCTGCCCCCAAAAGGTTTCACTTAAACAGAACATTATCAGAAAATGCAGTATTAAATGTTAAAGAATCTGTTTTATTTTTCCATCTCCTCAGTATCACAAGGCGATTCTGTAGAGGTCAAAATTTTAATTTAGTCCACTCCACAAACTGAAGGTTTAGATGACATGGAGAGATTCATCATATCTAAAATGGAGTTGGAAATCAGAGGTAATACATTATTAAATAATTTGGTTGGAACTCGATCTAAAGTTAGAACCAATCAGATAACTGCAGATATGACACAAAATCTCGAAGTGACGTGTTCTGTTTTTGTGTTTTTGTAGTCTGTGAAACATGTCAAGCCGAGAATAGCAAATACATACCTTCTACAGCTTTCTATAGCTTGTTGTTGACGTTTTAAAGTTTGATCAGTCACACTTAAGACATCATAAAGGGTATCATTAAAACATTGCTTGGTTTTGGATGCCATGTTACTGTTATGTTTTTCACCACAGGTTTTATTGAGAAGGTTTTACCCGTTTTAAAGTCTAATTTGATTGAAATCATAAAGACATCGGGTTGGGTGTTTTCTCACAAAACAGTGATTATCAAACTAGTATTTAAAGAGAAACTTGAAAAATAATCCTGCTGTAAAAGGACAGCCTGATGAAACATGAATTATAATACTGTTTATTTATTTTTTATTGTTCTATTTAAGAAAATTCATAGTGCACCTAGATTCATGTGCTCCTATCCTTATTCATTTGAGAGTAGGGGTGGGTGATATATCGAATATACTTAAAGTATCTCGAGGTCCACCATGCACAACAGTTAAAATTATTCTATTGCAACCAACAAGTACAAATTTGCATGACGACATTAAGCCGTCTGCTTCTATTTCACTGGGAGTTTCCTTTTTCACCACACACTTTTAATAAACCCCTCCTCTGAACAGGATTATTTTCTCGCATACTACAACATCTGGCAAACAAAATATGGCCAATGTGACTGAAAGATATTTTTAACAAACATTAAAATGTGCTCCTCCCATTATCCATCTCTCTGCCCTGTTTTTTCAAACCCTCTACCTTCTCTCTCTCTCTCTCTGTTTTTGTTTGTGGTTTACTTTATGGGAAAATCTTTCAGGTGAGCCCCAAGAACTGAGATTGTGCTTTGTTGCCTTTACAGCATCAGGTTTTGCTGGGTCAGTATATTGAAGATAAAAGCTTGAACTCATACAGCTCTTGCCGTATGGGCTCCACAACCTCTCTAAACTCAGCTGAAAATGAGTGGTACTAATCCTTCCCCTATCTAGGGTGTAGCTAGCATGTCACTCTGCTCACTCTCCATGTTTCAGTATGTCAAGTTAATCCCAGACTTTAACATAATTGGAGCTAATTGCATAAAGCCCTGCTCACATTTAGTTTATATTCAAGTCTCCTTTTTTCCTGTTGCACTAGAAGCATGACCTGAACACCACACAGTTTGAATCCTTTATTCTTCTCATAGTCTGTGTGATTTGTGAATTCAGACACTATTTCCTAAAGTCAGGTTAATGTGTCTTGCATTTTAACCAAAGTGAATTAGTTGACTGTTATAGTTTTATTTCAGATATGAATGATATGAATTAAAATTCATAGAGGGAACCCTGTCCAACATTATATTCATTGGAACCAACCAGGCAGATCCTGTGGTTTCTCATCTTGGTCCAGAGCTCCAGACTCAGGAGCATCTCCAGCATTGTTGAACAACAAGCTGGCCTCTCCTGTGAAAACAAGAGACAACATGAAAACATCAAAACCTCCTTTTTCTGATGAAGTGATATTGTTGGTTATATAAAATGGAGCAGCAGATGGCGCTATCCTACAGTTTGATTGGAAATAGAATAGAAATAGAAAATCTCTTTATTGTCTCACAATGGGGAAATTGTGGTGTTACAGCAGCATTACAGAAAAGTGGACCTTAATAGTGTTTAAACAATAATTTAAAAAAAAAAGTGGCAGAGTTGGAAAAAAAAATGTGAGAAAGTGTGTAAATGTTGTGTTTTCTCACCAGGATTGACAGTAATGATGCTTTTAGAGTCAACTGTCTCCACCAGGCAGCTGATGATGCCGTCCAAGTTCATCTTTGGATCAGCAGTTCCCAGTGGCTTGGTGGGAATGATGGTTGAGAAAAAGCAGCTGTTAACTTACCAGGTTAATCATGAGTTAAATGTCCTCCTTGTTCCACCTGTGAGAAAAGCAGAGGTATGGGAATCATTTGGGGTAGGAGCTGGATGGAAACACAGGCTCAGAGTCTCTCTGAAGCAGAAATCATAAGTCAGAAAGTTATATAAGCTAAAATAAAACCCAAATATTTAAATTAGATCAACACATTGTTCATCATTTCTGCAGCCAGTCAAGTTCTACATGCTGACAGAAGTAAAATGGGAATATTTAACACATCTATTGGTCCCACAGAGTCTTCTCTTCCATTGTTTCTATGCTGATTCTAAACATTTAGCTCTGGGGGGTTTAAAGGAACAGAAATAAAGAAAAGAAGCATAGAAACAGATCACTAATGAACCGTTGATTAATTCATTGATTTATGTTCTTTGAATATCAAGTGTAACATGTAATATTTTTATTTTATCAACAGTATTTAAAAATGAGTTATTAATTGTAATAACCTTAAGATGCTGATCTCAGAAAGGTTGAGGATGATGATCTGATAGATTTTCTCCACTTGAAGATACATCTTCTCTGTTTTGTTTCAGCTTTTTTTCCCCCAAGTTTGTTAAATCCACAAAATCACTGCATTAATATCCTGTACTTGGTAAGTAATTATTAACATTACAGCATATTTAATCATTTATAGCTTAGTTTATTCATTTTATTTTATGTCCATTTTAATTTGCTGCTGGATGATCAATAAAACATGAACTTACGGTAAATACTGTATGCTGCAGATTCCGGGTGGAAGTAATTACGGTAATTGGAAACAGAGGTTTATAAGTGATATCTGAATAAAGACCGTCGAGCTAAAGGTCCAAAACATCCGGTTTTACAATAAACTAAGCCACGTTCTGTTCCATGTTCCTACCCAGAACCCAATCCCAAACCGGCACTTGAACACTACAAGCTGTTCTCTACACCGCTCCGTTCCAGACGCCCTACGATGCTAAGCAAAGCCTACAGCATCATTGGTTCCTCCCGGTTCTTCTTCTTCTGCTCCTTCTTCTTCTTCTTCTTCTTCTTCTGGTAGTGGTTTATGGCAGTTGGCAAACTAGTTAAAATTGCATTACCGCCACCAAGTGATAAGGAGGTTTTTTTATAACTTTATTTGAAAAAGTAACAATGACAAACTCAAACAATACGGTATAAAAAAAACATATAGTCAACACTTTTCTTAATATTTTTTTTTCTTTTCTTTCAAGTTGCGGGGTAAACAGATGTTTAGTTTATGCAATGCACTTCAGAAAGAAAGAAAAATAATCTAAATCCAAAGATATCTATAATTATACATGTCGAATATAACATAATTATAATGAAAGATAAATTAATAAATCAAAAAAATACAAAACACACAAAAAAAAAAACAAGTCAGCATTATTTTTTAATTTGTATCTAGGGAGGGCTGAAATAAATTAGAGAGGTGATATGACAAACTTTTTGTTTCTGAATTTTGTCCAAGGAAAGGTTTAGAAGATGAATCTCATGTTTAAATACAGACCAAATCGGTGTGATAAGGAGTTAAACCAGGAAACAAGACTCACCCTGAGGGAAAAAAAAAAATATATAATATATATATATATATATATATATATATATATATATATATATATATATATATATATATATATATATATATATATATTATTATATTTTTTTTCAACTGTTTCACTAAACCCAACATAATTAATACTAAATCAAATTCGACTTCATAATTTCTAATTTATCTTTAAGTTATCATCACTCTGCCAATTTCTGATGGTCCTATTGGTTTTCCCATCATCATGCTTTCAACCATTTCCCAGTTTAAATCTCTGTCATGGTCTTGGTTCTGTTATGCTTTACTTTGCTCCATGTTTTCTAGTTTTATTGGTTTAATTCACATTTTGTTGTATTTTCTGGACATATGAGTACTTTGGTTTTTATTTGTTGCCCTCTTGTGTTGGTCTCCTTTTCCCTAGCACCTTCCTAGACTGCTCTCCACTCACACCTGCTCCTTATCAGCTCGTTAGCCCTGCCTTTGTCCAGTCAGCCATATATGTTCTCCCTCTGCTGTCAACTCTTTGCTGGTTCCTCGTCGCCTTGCTGATATTTTTCCCCTGATGTCTCCATGGTTCTGGTTTGTTTTACATTTTAAGTTGTTTACTGTTTTCACCAGTTAAACTGCAAGAACTCACCTCAGCCTCTCTGCCTCTGCATTTGGGTCCTCCAACCTAACCCTGACAATCTCTATCTTCAACATACTTTTCTGTAGCTTTCACGATTATCGGTTTTCTTTGTTGTCTGAGCACTACAATTGATCACTTCTACCATGAAAAGAACAAAATCTTTCTTTCTTACAATCAATGAATCAATGAATCAATGAATTTTGGGACACTGCTCCAGAGGTTTTGAACTTGTCATTTGCTTAAATGTTGGACTGGGTCTTTCTGACAGGGATGGGATTCCTTTTGCAACTTCAGCATAAGTTATTCTAAGCTCCAATTTAGCTTTTCTTATCTCTTCAGATTTTTTGCTCACTTCACAACCGCGATATCCAGCAGTTTGTTCTCCAACTGCCTCCTGTTTTCTCCACTCAGACTTCTTTGTGGGTCTTGTTCTTCTTCTTATTTTCTTCTTCTTTAGGTTTTAATGGTAGCTTGCATTGTTAATAAATATATATATATATATATATATATATATATATATATATATATATATAGTTGCACTAATACCATCTATTGGATGCTAATATCTATATCTCAAATTCTCATAATGATCCCAGTATTTTTCTTAAACCCGAAAAATCTTCTACTTCCCCTCAATACTATTTAACTTTTCATGATGGTCGATTGGAGTGCTAATAACTCAAGTATGAATGAACTCTAGTTTGAGTCATTCTTCTCAGCTGGATGTAGGCTACAACTTGCATAAGCAATAACCTGCTCCTTGCTATGCTGAGTTTGTGCAAGTACTATACAAAGCCCACTGAGCCTAGAATATGTGTACAAACTTAAGTGCTTTGTGTAATCAGCATAAGCCAAAATTCAAGCTTGATTAAGGCCTCTTTCAATTGGTGAATTCTACTAGACATCCCAGTCTCCAATCAGTAGATCTTTTATCAGTTTTGGAGATACCCATTAATAAAGAATTTATCAGGAGAGCTATTTTTGCAAGTCTGAATGAAATAGGCTCTGTAATAGCCTGCAAACCCTAAAAAAAGCCCTCAAATCTCTCACAGATGGAAGGAGCCACTTAGACACAGCAGTTACTTTCACTGGGTCAGGCATCACCCCAGCCTGGTTCACTGCATGGCCCAAAAAACTGTGATTGTAAAACTGTAAAAGTATTCTGTCAGTTAGTGAGTAACTGAGTTTTCTTTCAATTGTTTAGTAGTCCTCTCCTAACATTTGACACAGACAGAATTTCAATTAAGAAATATTACATTTTAGGCATCCTTGAACTCCCATATTGAGTATTTAGAAACTTTTTTTGCACTCTCTATGAGGTAATAAATGGGGGCAGAGGTTAGGTTTGTTTTCTTTTGCTGTAATCTGTTTGCCAACTCATCAGTCCAGAGTGAAAAAAGAACCATTTTCTAAATGGTCCTCATTCGATGAGGTGAACTGATTTCTTAATTCACCGCCTCTCTGGAATATATGGCGAGATCAAAAGCATGTTTTATAAAGACTGGATCAAGGTACTCGCTGTAAGAGGAAAACAAGCTGTGGTGCTCTGTTTTTACTACCCTTGCATTTATTTTGTGAAAGTAAAGTAGGGGTGAATCGAGTTAACTGCAGGACGACAGAGTCTTGATCTATTTTCAACTAAATAACTCCTGAGGTAAGAGTGTTTGTATTCAAATTTTAAATGTTGACAGATTCTTTTTTTTTTTTTTATATTGCTGATTTTTGTGCAGTCTCATTGCAATCGGTGTTCTCTAGATAAGGGTTCTCCAACTTTAGTTCTCAATAGCACCTGTCTTGCAACATGCCTCAAACACAGCTAAATAAATATGATTAACTTTTCAACATTCCATCAAATTTGACAAATACCTGGTAATGAGCCACCAGTATAGTACCCCAATAATTTACCTTTGTAAACAAGCACTGTTTTAACATTTTTACTCAAGTTGAAGCAGAACCAGTAATGCAAGAAAACTTACTTGGTTAAATTAGGGTTCAAGTACAAAGTAAATATTGGCTTATAACACTTGATTTAATGTTTAAAATGATTTAATCAGACAGAGCTGAGTGTAATTTCTTTTTTTTATTGTTACTAATAAATGAAATTATAATAAAACCAACATAAATTTCTAAATCAAACTTCTCCAAATAATCGTAAAAAAAACAACTTTACAATAGATGATGCATTCATGTCAAAAAAGGATTAGGAAATTCCAAAGATAATATTTACTGTTTGCTGCATATTCATCTGAACCACAGACTAATCATCTCCATATTATGTCTTAATTATGCAATAATTTATGGGGAAAGTCAAAGCAATTACTGACTTCATAGAAATTAACATACTTTTCAGACCCTCATATTTCTGTTCTTACAATGCTATATTTATAGATCTTGTGTAATATTGATATAGATTGTATCACCTCTAAGCCATATTCACCAAAATAACAAAAGCTAAAAAAAATTTCCCTCTGCGTCATGGACTTATATAAACATTACCTTCTGAAATGCGAAATAATGTAATCCCCCAATGAACCTCAAATATTTACACTTAACATCAGAGGCCTCAGAGTTAACAGAAACAGGCTTCTGCCTCTGTCTCTGACCTTAGTTAATGATTTAAAAAGTAAAAAGCTGGGGGGGGGGGGGGGGTTGGGGGGTCCTTCAGTAAAAAAAAGTTTAGCTAATAAAATCTAAACAAAAATGCAGAAAAAAAATATAATAGGCTGTCATAAATTAATATATATTTCAGGCATTTTTATTTATTTATATGGGTAATCCCTTACTTTAAGCAACAGACTGAGAATCTTGTTGTCTCCGTTATAAGTAATGGTAGGATTAACATGGAGG